ACAATATCGTAATGCAGAGTCACATGGTAATAAATGATTGATAACATATAAGTGCTATTCCATTGCCTCTAGGGCTGGTATTTGTGCTTTAGTAATTGCAATTATAAAGGAATTTTAGGCAAGTCGTGGGAGACACAGTGTTTCCTTCTTTTTTCCTGGGTTGTCAGGCCTTCCTAATAGCTTAGAAGCACAAACATGGTCGAAGTTTGCATTTTTCCTAAATTTGCTGACATCACTGTGGGCTCCCAGCTTTTGGATTCAGTGAGTGAATAACTCTCTCAAGCCTGAAGAAGGGAACTTGAGGAACAGGGTTCTACCCAGCTAACAGTCTCACTAGCAGGACAGTTGATAGTAATTCCAGACCATCCTGAACTCCCACAGGAGTTCTGCTTCTCTGCCTATTGTAACACAGAATTCTGACACCTTCCTGCATTGCTGGACTAATTGGGGGAATCACKGTGCTATTATTCTATACTTTAGAATATAATTCCCAAATTTCCAAAGGTGGCAAAGACATGTCACCAACTCCTCATATGAATGGATACTTGCTTTATTTTGCACTGTATCAATTGGGTTACCCTATATAGCAAGAGTTCACCAAGCTGTCAGAGGGTCCCTGAATCCTAGAAGTGGGGAGAGCACACAACAGCAAAGTGTTTCAATCATATATAAATTGGAGTCTTTGATGTGAAATAGAGAGTGACATTAAACTGAGGAATGATATTTTGCTGATCTGATACCTCTGTGAGTAAACAAACAGGTATGCACACAGTCCTACACACTTTGTGTCAAGACTTAAAAGTCCCCTTTTTTTAGCCCTTTGGCTCTAGCATGTGCCCATCTAGCAGAAGCTAGCTGCTCATCAAAACAGCACAGACACTTCCACTCAATAACTGTGCTCTGCAAAGCTGATGTGTGCTGCTTCCCAAAGGACAAAAGCAGCCAAATCTCTTGAAGTGGATCTATAAAAGGGGTTGAGAGTCCATTTCTCACAGGGATATTCTCAAGGAGATGGAGAGAGGAATAGAATATTAATGTTTATTCATCCAACACTTCTTGAGCTTGTATTGGGTGAAGAAATGTCGTTCAAGGCACTGATACACACATGTGAAAATAAATAGCATGAAACATCTGCATTTAAAGGAGGAGAGAGAAGACACGCTGTGATTCAGGGCAGAATGTGAAGTRTATCCTAGAAGAGGCGGAACCCAAGGGGAAGTTCCTAAACAAAACTACAGCAAATCAGCTGATGAGTGGAGGTATGTAAGATCTTCAACATACAGAAATAACAGAGGTGGAGTGTGAGAAGGAAGAAAGTTCTAGGTAGGCAGAGAAGCCTGAGTCAGGGCACAGAGCTGGGACTCTACAGAGATGGAGTTACCCAGCTAGGCCTGGAAGCATCATGGACTGAAGCCACAAGCTGTGGGGCTGGAGGAGTAAGGAGGTCTGCCTCTCTGACAGCTTTGAATGCCAGTCACTGAGTTGCTATTTGACATTTTAGAGGGAAGTTATGGTGGATACGGAATTTACTACCTGAATGGGAGAGTTTTGAGATGAAAGTTTCATAATCATTAGTTGACAGTTATGACAACTAATGACAGTTATAACCTGGTACTATCTGGAATCAGAGACCTATGGTCACACTAGTAAGTGCAGAATTCTCCAAAGAGAAGCTTTGATTGGAGAAGACTGAGCTCACTGCAGCGAACAGGCACGCAGGGTGGGCAGACCTAGGATAGCTGTTAGGTTCCTAAAGCTGCCACAACAGAGTACTGCAGGCTAGGTGGGCTAAGGCAGTGAGGATTAGGCAAACTTATTGTTTCACAGTTCTAAAAGCAAGAAGTGCAAATTAGATACTAGCAGGGCCATGTTTTCTCTGAAAGCCCTTCCTTTCCTCTTCCTGGCTTCTGGTGTTGGTGGCAATCCTTGGTGCTTCTAGGCTTGCGAACGCATCTCTCCAACCACTGACTCAGTGGCACTTTGTGTCTGTGCATGGTTGCCCCTTTGTGAGTGTATGTTTCTATTTCAACACTTATAAAGACATCAACTGGCCTGGATTAAGGGTCAACCCCACTCCTGAATGAKCTAATTTCAACTACAGCTGCGAAGACACCACTTCCAGCAAAGGCACATTCTGAGTTTCCAGGAAGGACATGAATCTTTCAGGTCYATGTTTTCTACCCAGTACCAGTATTGTACAAGGGGACTTTGAATGAATGGCAGGCAGACAGCATCTGAACCACAGAGATAGAAAGGGGCAGCACAAGGGTACAGGAAAGGGGTGAGGAAGTGGGGGGTGTTGGAATTTGCTTACTATGAAGCCCTACCCGGAAGACTGGTGGGTGCTTTTAGTACTGAGGGTGCACTTGAAAAGTTGGGAGTAGCAGGCTAACATAGTATATCTTATTGACTTCTACCTAGTTTTCACAAGTCTCAGCTCCCTCTTTGCCACTTCTGGGAGAAGAAAAGAAGTTCAATAATAGAAATCAAATAGGAGTTGCAATCGAGAGACCTTAGTCAGGACTTGACTTTTAACTTCTCCACTTTGGGTAAGACATGTGAAATTTTGGTCTGCTCCTCTGAAGATCAGGACATTCTTTGCAAAGTGAAGATTTGAGGGTAATCAGTAAGGGTCCTTCTGCCTCCAGATGCTCTCTTCAGAGGAAGCAGCAGAACATCTTTCCCTTGTCCTGCTTAGGAGGATAGACTTTCAGTTTGACTCCTGGCCATCACTTCTTTAGCAGGTTGTATCTATCAGACAGTGTTTTGTGGTTGCAAATGACAGAAACAGACAACCCTGAGCAAAACAACGCTACATTAGGTGGCGATTAAAGGTCAGCACCAGGGTCAATTTGATGCACGCACTGAGTTACAGTGAATCTGATCTCCTTTCTTTCCCATGCATGACTATGGTGACATCACTTGCTCATTAGTGAATCCTGGTCAAGAGTCTAATGACAATATTCCTTAGCTGTACTGAAGGTAGGTGGAAAAAAGATTTCCCCCAAAGGAATAGGGGGCGCAGAAAAAGATTGGATGGTAGTCATCTAAGAGGAGAACCCAGGTCTATTGCCAAGAAGTGTTTGGAATTTATCCAAGCGTAAAGATTTCAATAGTATATTTAGATACTATTATTTCTACAATTGTTGATATGTTATTAATAGTTATCACTAGTATTTTAATTTAGTCRTTATGAGCTCATGTTCCGGAGTCACAGAGACCTAAGTTTGAATTCCAGCTCTGTCCCACAAATACCGATGTGATTTCAAGAAAGCAATTGACTACTTAAATACTGGAAGCCTCAGTTTCCTCATCTGTAATATGTCAATGATGCTAATACTGACCTTATAGAATTACTGTTAAAATTAAAGGACACAATATGTACGAAAGAGCTTAAGGTAACACCTGACTCATAGGATATTTATTACCTGGTAATACTAATCATTGCAGACTAGGCCTCATGTGATTTATGTATATTTTGTAATTGTAAAAACAATTTGACATAGTTCATACTAGAACCCATCCACATGCTTTTTGTGAAGTAGAAATGGAGGTTACAATYGAGAAACTAGTTTAAGGTCCCATAGTTGCATGAACTGCCAGAGCTGTGCTGGAGTCCAGCTCTGCCAGAACTGTGGCCCAGGGTCTTGACCAGATCCAACTGCACAACCCCAGGCTTGTTCTCTTTTCCAGATCAAAGGAGAAGACACTGGCCATAGCGCAGCTGGGATGGGAAAGTTTGCTTCTTTCCTAATTACTACTTATTACCACTAACCTCTGCAGTAATTCTATTCTAGTGTACATTCTGCTATTCACTAAAATCAGACATTGAGGAATTGAGTTGCATTTAAATCAGGGCAAGACTAATGTGTTTTATTAATAAGTTCAAGTTGAAACCCAAGATAGTAAAGGGAAGTCTGATGAATAATACTGAACAGATGATATCAACTTTGCATGTGCTATCCTATCCACTTGTAAAAATGGATCGAATCACCTCAGATCCAACTTTTCTCTTATTTTGTGCTTATGAGAGTATTGTATGTTGGATACCTTAAGGAATTTAATTACTTGAACGTTTCTAAAACAGCTTTGCTGAGATATAATTTAAGTAGAAATCCACACTTGAGCACCCTTTAACTCTTTCCCCCTAGCCTTATTACTTTGTTATTCCAATTTTCTTTTAAAAAGTCCATGCTATTCAAGAAACACAACTTTTAAAGTCCACAATAACTCTTAAACTAGATTTTAATGCTACTTATGTTCTGGCAGCTTTCCTGAGGTATGAATATTTATCTTTAGTTGCTCATCATCAAAAGATAAATTAAAAATTCCTGCTGATTCTCACGGACAATAACGAACTCTTTTGGGAGTGCTAATACATTAGAAGCACATTTCTCTAAAGAAATGAGTCAAGTTGCCAATGAATGCACAACTTCCCATCAGCTGTCTTGGAATTCAGGGGCACAAACAATGGGGAACTTGCAGCAAACCCCAGTAAAAAGGAGTGCACGGCAAGGTGGCCTCCGCAGGGGCGGCGGGGCCGGGTGCCACTTGTGGCTCTGCCTGTGCGGGTGTCCGCGGGCCTCGGGCTCGGGCCGCGCAGCCCCCGGGCGCGCCCCGGGCGGCGGGAGACCCAGCCCCGCGCCGCCCGCTCGCCGCGCGGCCCCGCCCCCTGGCGCCCGCCCCGCCCCGCCCCCTGGCGCCCGCCCCGCCCCGCCCCGCCCCGCCCCGCGCGGCGAGCCCCGCCCGCCGAGCCCCGCCCGCCGGGCGAGCAGAGGGCGCGGGGCGCCGCCAGGTCCTCGCAGCGCTCGGCTCGGGCCGGGGCGCCGCGGCCGCGCGCCCAGCCGGAGGAGGAGGAGGCCGCGGAGGAGGCGGAGGCAGGCGGCGGGGGGCGGAGCTGCCGGCGAGGGGGACGAGCGCGGCAGTCGCGCCGGCGCGGGCGAGGAGCGGGCCCGGGCGGCCGCCGGTGAGCGTCGCGGGGCCCGCGGGAGGCCGGCGGGCTCTGGCCGCCCGTGTCGCGCCGCCGCCGAGGACCTGCGCGGCCGTCTCTGCCGCGGGCGCGGGCGCGGGTGAGCGCGGCGAGGCCCGGCCGCCTCAGGGCCGGCGGGGCGGGGCGGGGCGCGGCGGCAGGAGGGCCGAGGCCTGCGCGGCCGCGGCGCCGGCGCCGCCGACCCTCGGCCTCCGCGCCCGCCGGCCGCCGCCTTTGTTGCCCGCGGCCGCGGGGCCTGGGCGCTGCTCCCGGCGGCGTGCGGGCCGGAGGCCGCGGCCGGGGCGCGGGGCGGGCGCGGGCGCGGGGCGGGGGCTGCGGGCGCCGCGGGCCGGGCCGGGCCGGAGGCGGCGAGTTGGAGACCGCCCGGGGCGCCGCGGGCCCGGTTCTCGGCGCGCCCGCGAGTTGGCAACTTCGGGGACCGCGCCGGGGTCCCCGCGGCAGCGCGGAGGTCGCCGGGGCAGGTCCCGGCGCCGGACCCGAGTGAGCGCGGTGGCGTGTGGCCAGCGCAGGGCAGTGGGAAACCGGGGGCTCCCAGCCCCACTTTTGGAATTGGGGGCTGGTGGGAGAGGTGGTGGGACCGGGCTTCGGCGGGAGAGGCGCGCGGCGCAGCGGGCCGACCCGCGGCTGMGGGGTCTCAGGGCCGGCGCGGAGCCCGCCGGTGCCGCGGTGCCGAGAATCGGGACACCGACCGCTCCCAGAGACGCTTTTAATTTGCTGTGTGCCCTGGAATAAAGCTTCATTTGTAATCCAACAAAGTAAACTTATGTCTGCTTCAAGGTGAAACATCCGATGTTCCCAGCCACGGCGGCAGCAGTTTACCTTGAGATTTTATTTTTAACCCCCCAGCACCCACAACCTGGCGGGCTTGAATGAATGAATTTTAAGTAGTTAGTGCTCTGAAGAGTCAGCGCTGTTTAGAAACATGCATGGCATTGTTTACCAGCTTTCACAGATAAAACGCAGGAAACCCTGTGCAGTCTCGGATACTTTCCACCTTCCAGTCCAATTCCTCCTCAATTCTGCCTTCATGGAAGTGGGAAGGTTCAGGATATACCCTGCTCAAAGGAAAAAAAAAAAAAAAAAAGCGGCTGGAGGATGTGGACTTTGCCTTTTGGTTCCACGTCCTCCCTCCTTTTTTCTTCCTATATGCTGGCTCCTGGCATTTGACTTGATAGGTATTCTCAGGAGAACGTAATAATCTGGAGTTTGCAAGAGCTCTTCACTTCCAGGCTGGATAATGATCAGCCAGGTTGTTCTCTGAACCTCTTTTTTGGGACTCTATTCAGCATCTCTGAAAATGCTTTTTCTCTTTTTTTWATATTTTTATTTTTTAACATTCTGACTTGATAGCAAGTACTTACCCTTTGCTCCTTTTCCTTACTGTGGAAGACTGGTCAGCYTTAAGTCCCTCCTCCACCCAGGGGCACACCCTCAGGGTGTCACCTGCCTCCCTCCCTTGAAAGGCCATCTGCAGGGAGTGGCAGGGAAGGGATTTGGGTGCCTGGCTCAGCACTGGGTGTTGTGTAGACCAGGTCTGCAGTTCCAACCAGATTCTTGGTCACTTTCCCTTCCTGTGTTTTCCTGCAGTCTTGCTTTAGAGTTGAAAAGGTGCTCTTTTTAAGGTCCTGTCTAAAGGCAAAATCAAGGGTCTTAAGACTCTTCTTGTGTGACTCCTCTCTTCAGAGGAAATCCTACTAGTTCTCTCCATTTTGGCTAGTTTTCAGGCAACTTTGTGTTTTGTTCTGCTTGTAGAAGTAATCATGTGATCTTATTTAAAAGTCATGATACACTCTGAAAAACTGGGAATATTATGTCATTTCTGAGTTTGTTGCAGTTATTATTATTGTCTCTTAAAAATATGCCATTATGAGAAACAGGCTAATGGACACATTGGAAGTATGATGCAGGCATTGGAAGTTTGAGGACAGTACCTCCCCTTATTTCTGGTATAGCTAGTGTATTTGTGTACATCCTGTTTCATTGCTTAATAAGGGTAGGTAAATAAGTGACCTGCTGCTGAGATCACCTTTCCATGTTTTGTTTATTGCCCTCATTATTGGAAGTGAAGATTATCTATTCTGACCTCTTGTAGTTCTAGACATAGCATTTACATCTGTGGTCCCCAAGTACTCTTGTAAAATTATTCCTTTTACAAGGAAGAAATTTCTAATATTAGCATATGTTATAAAGGGAGAAATTTTCTTATATGACTGGAGTGATTGAAATAATTTAATAAAAAGGTATTAAAAGAGAAGCAGTGGTGGGACTTGTGTTCTGTTGTCCTGAGAGTGAAATGGCTGTAATGTTTGTGAGTCATTTGTGGTGCAGTTTGGCATGTTGTTTTAGCTGTCAGTGAAGGTTTCAGGACTGAGGGCACAATTTTCTTAAACTGACATCAGGATCTTTGTGGATGATCCACACGACATCAAATTCTCCTTGCTTGGGACAGTTGTTTCTATCAGTAGATGGCTGTTGGTCTTGTTGATGTTTCCATAAAGTCATTAGGCTCTCAGTTCCCACACCTCACACAGAGGATGTCAGGAGGTGTTAGAGCTTCCATTTACTAGCGGTTTGACCAGAGCAGGGTTAGAATTGCCTCTAAGTCTTATTCCTCATATGTGSCTAGAGTGGGGATAATAAGCCATTTTACAGTTGTAGGAAGAATATTTCCATATATATATATWTATTTATTTATTTGGTACCAGGGATTTGAATCCAGAGGCACTTAACCACAGAGCCACATCTCCAGCTCTTTTTATTTTTTGTTTTGAGGCAGGTCTCGCTGAGATGCTTAGGGCCTTGCTAAGTTGCTGAGGCTGGCTTTGAACTTATAATCTTCCTGCCTCAGCTTCCTGAGCCATTGGGATTACAGGCATGTGTCACCGTGCCCAGCTAAGAATATGTTTATTTAAAATAGTAAACATAAGAATATGTTTATTTCAAACTCTTTCTGCCTGCTTCTATTTTTCACAGAGTTAGGCCCTCACCTTTCTAAGCTGTGTTCTGAATCCCGTCTTGGACATGGTGGTTGTTTCCTGCAGTGCCCTTCAGTGGCTCTTCGTGTGGTTGGTTCTCCCTCGGATCTTCTTCCTCCAGCATCAGTACCTCAGAGAAGCCTTCCCTGACTACCTCAGGGTCCTTTCAGTAATCCCTAGTACTCAATTTACACGTTTCCTCTGTCACATTTATTGCTGTCTGTRATTTTTCTGTGTACTTGTGGCTAGTTTGTCCACTCAATGCATGTTGTGTGAGGGCAGCAGGCCTGCCAYGGGCTGTCTGTCCTCTTTGTGTCCTTAACACATCCTGAGGGGCTTGGCCTCTGAGGAGCGACCTGATATATAAAAAAGGGAATATATTTTCCAACCTATTAAGGGCAAAGATGTTCTGTGTAGATCTTAGAAAACTGTTGGTGTTTGTATTGCTTTATTGGTTGTATTGCTTATTTATATTGTTTATTCCTGTGTTAGCTGATTTGCTCAGCTGAATAAATCACAGCACTAGTAAAATCAAGACCCTGTAATAAGTGGCCCATACAGCCCTACACAGTGTGCAGCCTCAGGGTGTCTGAGTTGACTTGGGACTCCACGTGGCTCTCCATATGGGTGCACGGTGGAAGTGTAGTGTTTGGAAAGTAATCATTGCAAAGGACAGTTTCCTTGGCATTAGCTTACATAGTTCAGTAAAGCAAAACCTCAGGTATCTGGAGCTCCCTGGCATCTTCAGTTTTCTGATGTAGAGTCAAGCAAGAAGGAAAAATTGATTTGGAATTAGACAAGCCAGAGACTTAGATGACTTTGATTGTAACCAATGCAGGCAGTCTCTCATGGGGATGTAGATGTAGATATGAATTTTAACACTTGAATTTTGTAGACAGGTTTTGTTTATTTTTTTAAACTTTTATATTGTTTATATATAAAATAATAGTAGTGTCTTCCTCAGTATGAAAAATTGATATATATGTATCTATCTTTATCAAGCTCCTGGAATACACAAGTGTTAATAGTAATAATTAGTTTAAGATATACTAGATTAGTCAAAAGGAGTATTGTAGTTAATTAGCAATCCCTTGGGTTTTCTTGTCAAAGAAGTCCAGTGTGGAAAAAGGGTGTGAGACCAAAGGGACAAGAAAAACAAATAAAAGAGGAAAGCAAATGGGCATTCATGGAGTGTTACTGGTGGTGCATGCTACTAGGGTGGGGAAGATTAGGCCTGRCACTGGGTGACCACTGGAACAGAATTTGGCATTGGGGCCTTTGTAGTTTTGCAGGCACTTGCCTTCTGTCTCTTCTGCTTTGATGATGTTGATCTGATGCTGTTTTATTGCTCTTCGTGGTGTCCACGCTAAAATGTTTTCTTGAAATTATTGAAAGGGTACCATTCCTGGAGACTGGGGGTTGATTAACCTATTTCTCCAGCAACAACTTCTTGAATAGTAATAGAGAGGAGGGAGACAGCCAGGATACTTCTGATAGCTCAGTGGCCTCTAAACATTGTAAACCCTAGTGGTCTGTGGCATACTGAGATTTCCAGCAAGTAAATTTGGTCCTCTGAAGGGGCCATTCATCTAAAGATAGCAGTTTTGTGACAGTACAAAATTATATTTAACATATACACTTGTGCTTAATAGATTTTTTTTATAAAAACTCTAGTAGTTTAATATTTAGAATTATTTAAACAAGCCATATTCAGTAAGAGCTCCAAGGGTCCATTGTTTGCTGCTTCTTATGGTTGTACCTGTGGTGATTTTTGTGGTAGACCTTACTCTGACCACACTGTTAACATGCTGGATGGTTGAGGCTGCAGTGTTAGGACACTTTTAAATTAAGATGAATTTGGGCTGGGGATGTGGCTCAAGTGGTAGCGCGCTCAACTGGCATGCTCGAGGCACTGGGTTCGATCCTTGGCACCACATAAAAATAAAATAAAGATATTGTGTCCACCTAAAACTAAAAAATAAATATTTTTAAAAAATTAAGATGAATTTTCATTGGTAGACTTAATACTTTGTATGCATGTTACTTTCCTTTTGTAAATTTTGATTTGATCTTATCATAATGAAGGTGTTTGTTAAAAGTTAAG